ATCAGTTCAGTTGCGGCCTTGAGCCAACACACGCCTTCCACCAGTGCCGATATACAGTGATATCGCACTGCTACTCGTGTGATATTGCTCATATATATTGAATATATATATATATATATATATATATATATATATATAAATTAACCTAATTCCTAAAACCTTTCATGTTGTCTCAGCACAAATCAATTGTGTGGAACCCAGCATTTTTACAGTGTACAGTAAAACCAGAAAACGAACCGGCCCACATGAACAAAAATACTATAGTAATTTTAGTAAATACTATAGAGGTTTTGAACCATACTGTAGTAAAGTACTTGAATTAATCTATTGTGTCAATTCTGTTGCTGCTGTGGTAATAAATGACCCAATACTGTATTCGCTTTTCTACAACTATATAAATTACACACAATACACCACAGTTTACTGTAGTAAAAAACAAAAATATGCTACAGAATTAATAACATTTTGTCAGTTCACTTTAGTTATTACTACCTTATGTTGTAGCTTTAATTAACAAAGAGTTGTAAAACTGCACTGCAAAAAATGCTGGCTTCCACACAATTCCTTTATGTTGTCCTAGGCATGCGACAATACCCGCTTCCAAGGTATACCGCGGTTTGGAAAAGTCAAGGTTTTAAAATCGGTAAAATTTTCTGCTATACTGTTCCTATATGTTTTTAGCCTGACATGTTTACTGTTCCAAAATACTTTAAATGTTTCTCAAAATAAGATCTATTGTGTTTTTATACCAAGCATTTAAAAGAAACATATTTTAGAGCAGTAATCACAATACAGTTAAACTGTGATATTTCTATCTAAGGTTATCATACCATTAGAATCGTATACCTGCCCAGGCCTAGTCCCAACATGAACTGTAAACGGTTTTAATAAATTTAAGTGAATTGAACATAAAACAATTAAGTTGTCCCAAAAAAACTCAAGAATTGTGTTGTTTCAGCTCATTTCAAATAAGCTGTTTGAATAAGCAGCAACAAATCTTTTTGAATGTAAAATATATACAGTATAATTCACTCACACTACAGTATTTACTATAAATTACTATAGTATTTTATCATGTAGGTGATTTGGCTAAAAGACAGTTCTTCATCAACAAACAGCAAGGCACACTGCTTGTACATCCAAATCTTTGATAGCAAGCACTGGCAGTTTCCTCTGTTACTGTGCACAAGCTTTTAAATATAAAGCCTTTGTTATGAATAAATATTCTGTGTTGTTTGCATAAACACAACTGTGCAGGGAGGAGCACGTTATTGTGGGACCATGCAGCACTACCACAAATAACAGCCTCAACGTATAGAAATAACGTCCAAATGGAAACTCTGACTTGGAAACTTACCCTTGACTAAATGGAAACTTTTTTTTATATTGTAGCCTGAATAATTTGAACAACCATTCCACTGGGGTTTAACTTGGGGAGGCATACTATTCAAAACGGCCTCTATGTGTTCAAATAAATACAATTTAAAAACTTTGTCAATTGAGAAAACACACTAAACTGTCTCAGTTGTGCTTTGAACTCTTAGTTGTTGTTTTTAGTAATGTAACTCAGTTATTTTATAGGTCAAAATTAGAGGTTCCATTTTCAGCTATAAAAACATGCTCTGTCTTGCATGCATAATGGAAGAAAAAGTCTCTGAAATGAGGCAAGTTTAGTCCATGTTGTATTGGGAACCTCTCCCAGACCATCACTACAGGAGTCATAGATAGAATAAACCAAACATTCTCTCTCATTCTACCTCTCTCTCTTTCTCATAGTAAATGATAAGTCGCTGATGCTCCCCTCCTCTATTTTACTCGCTGAGGCTTTATGTAAGCACCTCAGTCACTTCAAACTCAAGGCTCTACAGGAGAGGAAGGGGATCTTGAACTCCCTGTAGAAACAGGGCGCCTGCAAGCATTCCAGAGGAAGGAAGTTTGGACAAGCAATAAGACGGCAATACATAAGTGCACCTTCAAGAAAATACAACTGCATAAAAGGTATTCCACAGCCCCGTCTTCCTACAACTTCAATAACATCAAACTATTCTTCACTCAAGCCACATGCTGGCAGTAATGGTCGCTCTCTCCATTTTTTTAAGTATGAAAGCATTATTTAAAATGACCTCAAAGTGTTCAACATTTTTCAGGCAAGTTCAGGCAACATTGCAGTTTTATGTAAAAAAAAGTGAGTTCAGGTATCTGATTATGAATTCTGCTGAAAGTGGCAGCATTTCAGATGCTTTAGCTAGTAATTGTATCCTTTACGCAACTAATTATAAGTTACACTGGAAACTTTGGTGTCAAAACACTAACCTAGAGGCACAACAGACTCTTGGGCAATCTCTTGGTCACTGTATATACTATAAAACTCATTTCAATGCAAGCCAAATGTAAAATTAGACCACATTTCAACATATTCTAATATATTAGCTACACCACACAGTGAAAACAAACCATAATGCAGAAATTTACCAAGCACACAATTTGTGTATTTGGGTAAATGATAAAAAGGTAATACAGCATTTTTTATACATCAGTTAGTTTAAAAATAAATTCTGAGTAAAGACTGATATAGAGAAAAAACCTACTAAAATGTCACTGAGTCTAACAATATATTCCAATATAAAGTTGAAGTCAGAATTATTAGTCCCCTAATTATTTTTTTCACCAATTTCTAATGAAGAGATTTTTTCAACACATTTCTAAACATAATAGTTTTAATAACTCATTTCTAATAACTGATTTATTTTATCTTTGCCATAATGACTAGATATTTTTCAAGACACTTATATACAGCTTAAAGTGACATTTAAAGGCTTAACTAGGTTAATTAGGTTAACTAGGCATGTTAGGATAATTTACCAAATTATTAACAAATATTAACGATGGTTTGATCAGCAGACTATTAAAAAAATATATAGCTTAAAGGGGCTAATATTATTGACCTTAAAATGTTTTTAAAAAAATTAAAAACTGCTTTTATTCTTGCCAAAATAAAACAAATAAGACTTTGTCCAGGAGAAAAAAACATTATTAGACATAATGTGAAAATGTGATTGCTCTGTTATACCTCATTTGGGAAATATTTATAAGAGAAAAGAAAAATCAAAGGGGTGCTAATAATTCTGACTTCAACTGTATATCTACAAAACTTGCTAAGCTTATTTAGGACAACAACAAACATTGCATTAGATGATATATTAAAATCAGGGCACCCACTCTTTCATGGACACTAGCACTTTTCAAGCACTTTTAATTGCTGCATCTCCATTTGCATACTATCCACCCTGAATAGTATTTTAAAATAGAATTAGTATGTCCCAAATCGTAGTATTTTTTTTTTAAAGTAAAGGTGCCAGGATGGTTTACTATTTGCGGTAAAAAAGTTTAAGTGTAGAACCGTCCATATCAAACCACTGATATTTCCCACAGAAAATTGAGCTTTGGACATGAATTCGATTGGAACTACAAAAGCGGGTCAAAAGTGTAAATAAACTACAAACATGATGGACGCACAAGATTAAACGTCTAGTAGAGAGGCTTTGGTAAAGTTGCTTGACTGACTATCAGGTAATATCTAGCCAACTGGAAAATATTTAAATCACATTTTCTGTGTTATATTCCATTTGGAACAACAATATTAAACTTATATAAAGACGTGTTTGGACATTAACGCCGGAATGATAATCATCCAAAGACCTGAGTGATTTCTTTGCATGAAAGACTCGTGAAAGGGAGATTAACCTGCTGCTGTTTCTTCAATAAGGTAGGAAATTAAATATGACAGAAATGTGGATGATGTGTGGATGATTGATATGGCTCGTAACTAAGAAACACAACGATCGAATAAAAAAGAAATAGTATTTCCCAAATCTTCCACACTCTTCTGTTACACACTCAAAAGTATATAGTTTTTTCTTCACAAAACAAGTGCATACTTCTAGGGTGTTGTATAGGTATGTGAACTGGGATGCAGCAAATTACTTTTTAAAATACTATTAATTTTTAAATCAAGCCTCTTAGTTATTCATACCCCAGCTAATGTAGCGCTATGAAAGTCCTTGCTGTACCTAACATTTCACCTAATATTTACATTAAAAATGTCAGAGTAATTGGATTGTTTTAAACAGAACTTTAATAAAATGCGTTGAATTATATTACAATACTGGTAATATTCAAGTGCTGTTTCTGAAAAAATCTATCAAATGTGCTTTATTTATCATTGTTATTGTGCACATTTAAATGTAAGATTTTTTAATAAAGCATTTCTCAGCTTTTTTATTCTGTTTTTGACAGCAGCATACAATTGTTGAAATAACACCATAAACCTTTTTGTTTGTTTTCAAATTTAATTCAAGCACTTTTAAGGATCTGTGTTTGTTTTTAGGTACTTTCCAGGCCTTGAATCCATATGTCTGAAATTCAAGAACTTTCAAGAAGTTTGGGAACTCAGTAAACTATTAACTAATAATAAAATTGATTATGTATTGATTAAACAATTTATTTTTGTTTTTTATTTTGAAACTATTTGTCAAACTACTAGGCTGGCAATAATTTATAATAAAAAATAATAAAATCTTGTAATAACACATTAATTAATACATTTTATTGAACATAGTTCAGAAAAACTTTAGTTTTATGTTTGAATAAATGTATCACTTTCACTGAATGACAAAGTATCGTTCTGACACCTATTTTTTTTTTTTACTTTTCACTTCCACAAAGGTTATTTGAAACCTCAGCGTAGGCAGTGACACCTTAATTTCATGTTTTCAATGTATACAAAACTGTGTATACTATGAAGGTAATTTGTTGCAGACACCAAAATTAGATTTTTAACCCAAACACACTGTTAAGCTGATGTGCATCCAGTTAAAAATCAGTTATGTAATCCTAAACCAGAGCATGCGTGCCATCTGCACAGGTATTATCTATGCTCATCCAAACATATGCATGGATGGATAAAAACCCACATTTGACCTTAAATACCATGCACTCACACGACCCATATTCCAGTGATGGTGAGAGCTGGGAGGCTGACGGGTAAGATCATCCACAGAGACATCTCCAGCACACGATCCTCTACTGCTCCCCTCAAAACAGCCACTTCTTTCGCCTTCGCCAGCCTGTCTCCCTCTGCTCATCAATGTGCATTTATAGCCGTTGCATGACCCCAAATAGGCTTATCTTAAAGATCATACCTGAGATGAAAAAGAAATTGTTTTTTAAAGACACCATGATAAACAGTTCTCTACAATTGGCATTTGATGGTTTTGTTTTATTATGCATATATTCTGCACTTTTATATTCTTATTTGCACACACACTGGATTTTTTCTGTTTGTTTTAACATTAATAACTCTGTCTGCTCATCTCTAACCCTAACTGCTGTGCAGAAGAATATTCTTTAGCTAACCAGCAAAATGGCCGATTGAAGTTCGATGTAACAGCCGTGTGTGCGGTGTCGAGTGCGGGCAGTGTGTCTCTCACCTCCCCCTTGTTTTTGGGGACCGCGGTCGCGTCTCCCACCTTTGTTAAATCCTCAGACGGAGCGCAGACTCTTCAGAAAAGAAACGTCAATCATCGGTAGCGGATACAATTTTATCTTTACTCCTCAAGCATCCAGATGACAGCGGCTTTGGGATGTTGTGGCTTCGCTCGTCGGTGTTTTTTTTTTTCGGCGGAATTCTGGAGCCTCGTTGCTCTCGGAAGATCAGTGCTGTCTCGTGTCCCGCCGTGTGGACTGAAAACGAACTTAAAGCAGTCCAGCTGTTCGCGCAGCTCCGCCTCCAGACAGCAACACAGCACATCCCGAGACTGTGCAGTATGTTTAAATGTTTGTAAATTTTTGTTTACAAAAATGTTCATTAAAAAAACATATAGATAGATAGATAGATAGATAGATAGATAGATAGATAGATAGATAGATAGATAGATAGATAGATAGATAGATAGATAGATAGATAGATAGATAGATAGATAGATAGATAGATAGATAGATAGATAGATAGACAGATAGACAGATAGATAGATAGATAGATAGATAGATAGATAGATAGATAGATAGATAGATAGATAGATAGATAGATAGATTTTTTAGCAGTTTTAATTTTTTTTTAAAAAACATTTTAAGGTAAAAAATCATTAGCCCCTAATGCTATTTTTTTCGATAGTCTACAGAACAAACCATCGTTATACAATAACTTGCCTAATTACCCTAACCTGCCTAGTTAACCTAATTAAACTTGTTAAGTCTTTAAATGTCACTTTAAGCTGTATAGAAATGTAGAAATGTCTTGAAAAATATCTAGTCAAATATTATTTACTGTCATCATGGCAAAGATAAAAATAAATCAGTTATTAGAAACAAGTTATTAAAACTATTTTGTTTTAATTTACATCTTTAATTTTAATTAATTTTGTTAAAACTGTTTAGAAATGTGCTGAAAAATCTTCTCTCTGTTGAACAGAAATCGGGGGGAAAAATAAACAGAGAGACTGATAATTTTGACTTCAACCGTGTGTGTGTGTGTGTGTGTGTATATACATAGATAGATAGAATTAGGGTTGACACTGTGGCACAATAGGTAGTGCTGTCGCCTCACAGCAAAAAGGTCGCTGGTTCGAGCCTCGTCTGCGTCAGTTGACATTTCTGTGTGGAGTTTGCATGTTCTCACCGTGTTCGTGTGGGTTTCCTCCGGGTGCTTCGGTTTCCCCCACAAGTCCAAAGACATGCGCTACAGGTGAATTGGGTAAGCTAAATTGTCAGTAGTGGATGTGTGTATGAGTGTGTATAGATGTTTTCCACTGATGGGTTGCAGCTGGGAGGGCATCCGCTGCGTAAACATGTGCTGGATAAGTTGGCGTCTCATTCCACTGTGGTGACCTCAAATTAATAAAGGGACTAAGCTGACAAGGAAAATGAATTGTCTCAAAATAAACTACAAAAACTACAAAATACAGCAGCCACAAATGTATCAAAATAAATTCTATATTTTGATTTTGAAAATACTGCAAAATACTTTTTAACCATTAATGCAGATAATGAATTGGAATATAGCTCACTATTTCTTTTGATTGTGAAAGTTGCCACGTATCTTAAAAGTCTTATGCTTCAAAATATTTGCAACTGAAATCCTCAATACTCAATGTAAAATCACGATTTCTGAAAACTAATAAAATCTCCCGTTTTAGTCAGTTCCATAAAAAGGTTTTTTTTTTTTTTTTGCAGTTGTGCTCTTCAATACGCAATATAAATACAATATCTCAAAAAAAAAATTAAAATCAATATTTCTTTTTGCTGCCATAAAACCTCAGTTGGGTGCTTTTGACCAGCCTGTAGATTAGAGTATTATTAAATATTTTTGTCTTATACTGATTAACCTAGTCAAAGGTTGTAATTGACTACAAAGAGCACCTGCAGATTACCTACTGGCATTTGAAACAGCCAATGAAGTATTGTATCGCCACTGTAGTATTTTATGTTTTTTGACTTGCTCCCAAATCTACCCTGCTATTTGTCTGTTACCTTTTTTATATGTGATGCATTATTTCCATCCAAACTGCATTGATCAACTTCTTCTTCTAACCAATTTTCCAGTCTGATCACAAACCTTGGTAAACAACCGAGGAAGCATCCTTCTGGGGCAGCATTTTTATGATGTCATCATGTAGACTTTTTACAAAGTATTTTACAGTATTTTAAAAATACTAAAATACAATACACTAAAGTATTTTTAAACAAAATATTAACCCATTTTTATCAACCCTATCAAATACAAATGACAAAATACTACTTTGTATTTAAAATACGTATTTGAAGTCTTGTATAGTAAATACTGCCCATCCTGCTGTTTGGGACGTCCTAATTTGTCCACAACATTCTCTGTGTATTAGCAATGGAATGATTTTATGTGACAAATCTTATTTTGATGCATACTTTGGGAAATCCTTTAAACATTTTCAAAAACTCAACTCCTCTAAAATTGACTACCCTTGATGGCTTTTTTTTGTTTGTTTTTTTGCCCTAATTACTTCCATTATAATGACATTTTTTATTGAAAAGCCATTATTATGTATTCCTAGTTGTTGATGGTTTTCCCTGTTGGAAAGAGGTAAAACATTGAAATTTTTACTGTTGATCATCAGTTGCAGTGCAAAAAACCTTAGGTTCTGGCTTTCTTCAAAAGTACATATTACAAATTTTATGAGGAACACTTTCATACTTTTCAGGTACTAATATGTACTGTTGAGGTATTAATATGGACCTTTTAGGTATAAATTTGTACCTTTTGAAAAGGAACCACCCCAGTGACAGCTTGCATACCTTTATTTCTGAGAGTGAATGAAGATATTTGGTTATATTTTGTTATATTTTTAATGATTTTTTTTTCAAACATATTAAGTGTTTTTATGCATGCACACTATAATTAGCTGTTTTACTCCATAAAACACCATATAAAAGTTTTAAACTTTTTCTGCATACTAAAAGAGTTAATGGTGCCAACTGTTGATTAACAGTAAAAATGACAAATTGTACCTTTTTTACCCAACAACAACCAAGAACGCATGATTATATGGTGTTATAGCTTAGCAATCACAAAATATCATTATAATGAAAGACAATGAAGCAAAATCTATGCATAACGAAATGGTAGACAACTTGAACAATACAAAAGGTAAATATAGATTGCAAAGCATTAAAAGAGCATTGATGTGATATTGTTCCTGTTTATTGATTTGATTATGTTGATTGATTCTGTTTACTGATTAATGTATACATATACAGTTAAAGTCAGAATTATTAGCCCCCCTTTTCATTTTTTTTCTTATTCAAATACTTTCCAAATGATGTTTAACAGAGCAAGGAAATTTTTACAGCATGTCTCATAATATTTTTTCTTCAGGAGAAAGTCTTATTTGTTTTGTTTCAGCTAGAATAAAAGCAGCTTTTAGTTTTTTTAAAAACCATTTTAATGACAAAATCATTTGCCACTTTAAGTTATATATTTTTTGATAGTCTACAAAACAAACCATCGATATACACTAACTTGCCTAATTACCCTAACCTGCCTAGTTAATCTAATTGACCTAATTAAGCCTTAAAATTTCACTTTAAGCTGTATAAAAATGTCTTGAAAAAAATCTAGTAAAATATTATTTACTGTCATCATGGCAAAGATAAAATAAATTAGTTATTAGAAATGAGTTATTATTAAAACTATTATGTTTAGAAAAGTGGTGAAGATATATTCTCTCTGTTAAACAGAAATCGGGGGGGAAATAACCTCTATGAGTTTATTTATTATATCAAACACTAATGAAGATATTTTGAAGAAAGCTGAAAACCTGTAACTTGCACAGCAAAAAAAAAAACTAATACTGTAAAAGTCAATGTTTACAGTTTTCCGGCTTTCTTGAGTATTACTTAGCCTAGTTTGTGTTCAACAGAAGAAATAAAGTCAAACAGGTTTGTGACAAGTGAATGATGAGTAAATTACATGATTTTCATTTGTGGGATAAACCTTTAAAAGGACATACTACTATTTTTCAGTGAAACATCTGAAGTAAAACAGTCCACTGCTGCATAATAGAAAAACTACTCAGTGTTTACGTTTATAGATGCTTCTTCACCATCATCGTTTTCTTTTATTGTTGTTCTGACGTAACCGGCTGACCATTTTGATGAAAATAACATTCAAGAATAAGAGCATGTGGTCAGAAGAAGGAGTGATTTGTTAGTCATGAAAACAGACTTGTGAATGTAGAGATTGAGCGTGAAACGTTTGTTGTCGTTCCGAGCATATCATAGCCCTGTCGTAATACTTAAGCCACAAAATGACGTACACCTGGTCATATTCATAACTGTAATATTAGACTACTGTTTAAAGTACACGAGTTGCTTCACCCAAAGCCAATTAATACAAAATATAAATAGCTTGTTCTGGTGCCATCTGGTGGATTTGCTTGTCAATTCTAGACCTGTTTTCATTCAGAATTGATAGTAGCACAACGTTTTCACATTCTGCTGCCTTCTCCTCTGAAAATCATTGTTGTATAAAGCACTAATAGCTCAATTTTTTAAAAAAAACATAATAGGCCTATGTATGATTAGCAGCTTTTTAATTAATATTTCTGAACTTTCATAAAAAATAAATTCTTTGAAATTGAAAATGACAAATAAATCACACCAAAACCTTTGTTTTATTTAAGTCTTTTTATATATGCAATAAATCAGTAGAGTTTTCCCCTACAAGCATCAACATTGCAACAGCACAGTGAAATATTTTAACAGTGATATACAGACAAAAAAAAACCAAAAAAAAACATATAACATCACAGTGGCGCAGTGGGTGGCATGATCGCCTCACAGCAAGAAGGTTGCTGGTTTGAATCTCAGCTGAGTCAGTTGGCATTTCTGCATGGAGTTTGCTTGTTTTCCCCATGTTCATGTGGGTTTCCTCCAGATGCTACGTTTTCACTCTCAAGTCCAAAGACATGTGGTACAGGTGAATTGGGTAAGCTAAATTGTCTGTAGTGTATGAGTGTGAATGAGAGTGTTTGGATGTTTCCCAGTGATGGGTTGCAGCTGGAAAGGAAATCGGTTGTGTCAAATATATGCTGGACAAGTTGGCGGTTTATTCCGCTGTGGCGACCCCAGATTAATCAGAGGACTAAGCCGAAAAGAAAATGAATGAATAAATGATTCTCATATGGTTGGAGTAACTGTGGTGTTGTATAGAGGTTTTCAGTATTTTAAACATCCTAAATCTGTTGATCAACATGATCATCCATGTGTGAGGGACCCAAATACTAAAATTTATAAGATATTAATAGGTCAAATAAAACATGGTTTGGAAAATAATTTGTATCTATTAAGTTACATCATGGGGCGACTTGATGGCTACGTGGTTAGCACTGTCGCCACACAGCAAGAAGGTCACTGGTTTAACTGCTGGCTGGGTCGTGGAGTTTGCTTGTTCTCCTCATGTTCAGGTTGGTTTCCTTCGGATACTCTGATTTCCCCCACAGTCCAAAGATATGCATGTATAGGTGAATTGAATAAACTCATTTGGCTGTAGTGTATGAGTGTGAATGAGTGTGTTTGGATGTTTCTTAGTACTGGGTTGCAGCTGGAAAGGTAATTCGTTGTGTAAAAAATATGCTGGATAAGTTGGCAGTTTATTCCGCTGTGGTGACCCTTGAGGGTTAATTTTTCACTCATAGGTAGGCCTACTGTATTAAAAAAAATTATTTATTTAATTATAATTTGTTTTTAAAATCTCACAAAAAGCCCTCAAAAGGCCCACATGGAATTAATGTCCACTAGTGTGGGCTTCTCACCGAAGGATAGTGAGTGAGTGAAATTACAATAAAAAGAATATGTTGTCATGATTTACTGATTATATAGTTTTTACAGCGTAGATTTATTACAGTCGCACTGTTGTCCCGTATCCCCAAACTCCAATGCCAGGGTAAAGAGGCTCAGTAAATTTAGTTTGCACCTTGTACAGCAGTGTCATTTTGTCAGAAACACTATAAAATGCCAGTGTCCCAGACTCATAGTCAACATAAACCCCAATCCTTGAGGACCTGGGCACAGATACAGCCGTGCTTTTGCTGTTGTGCATAAACGAGTATTCGGATTCAGAGCAGTACAAACTCCAAGACTTGTCATTCCTTCCGAAGCTGCCAGGTTTGTCATTTCCTTTCCTCTGGATCCCTTTGTAGGTGACAGCAATGTCCACTTCAGTGCCTCTCCAGTCCAGCTCCCAGTAATATCGTCCTCCTGCCAGACCCGGCTTACACAGTGCCTGTTGCCAATAGTCGAAGCGGTCAGGATGATCTGGGTACGGTCTGGGCTCATTGCTCATCTGCACCACAGTGTTTCTGTCTGACAGGACCAGGTTTGGATGGGCTGTTAAAGGATCTATTGATAGCTGACAGGAATCTAGATGGAAAAGGAGTGTTTAGATTAATCAGCATCAACAATGTGTTTATATAAAATGAGAATCTCACTATTTCTGAACTTACATTCAAAGAACTCCTCTCGTTTTGCTGGGTCCACAGTCTGGAGAATTTTAACCTCATTCACTGCAGATAGAATTTTGACATGTGTAAAGGATTTATAATTGGATAAATTACATTATTGATAAAAGATGAAAGGGGTTTTAAGCATTAAGGCAACAAGATATAATATTGCTACAGTTCCTCAGAACCTTAAGCTGTAGTGCCTATAAAAGACACTAGAGGACAATTTCCCATGTTCTTTTGCTCCTTTGATTGTGTATTGTAAATTTTTCAGCTATGTGTCTTAATCCGGATTTTGTTCTCTGTGTATTTAAACCCATTTGTTTTGTCATATGATTCTGGATTATGTTTCTGCTTTTTGTTGTGAGTTGGAGTGGTTTAGTTACTTGCCATTCAGTCTATTTAAGTATTACAGTGCTACCCCAAAATACAAGCCTAATTAATTGTATTAGATCACTTAATATATTTTCCAATATCCTTGAATTTTTATTACAGAGTTTTTACGGATTTATTAGCCATTAAATTTATTTAATCATTAATCATTAGTAGTATATAAAACTGGTGCGTGCAGAGCAGGCAGTTAGACTTTTAGCCTGCTGAGGAGCTGAACACAGCTATCAGCAGGAGATCCAGCTGTTGTGGCATAAAAGACATTTCCCTGTTAGTAACTGAGACATTCCCCTTCAGTGGGAACTCCTACGTGTGTCTGGAGAACACTTTTGGGAGAGTGACCAAGCGGCCATACCAGACATCGTACTGGGCCAGGACCCCAGCTCCTCTGCTTAGTCGCGTGCTGGGGGCCTCATTGGAACTCTCTAGGGTTCGCCAAATGGGGAACTCACTTTAGCAGAGCCGAATAACGCATGCATCTCCGGGTTAGGAAGCATGGCGCAGCAAACGTTTTTGACACCAAGCTTAGTTTTCTCCTGATTGACCAGGGTTACCCAGTAATCGGGAGGATACCGGCTCTACTAGAAGATTATCAAATTTTGCAAATGTATTAGGTGTCACTCAGCCTGCAGATCTACAGATATCTGTGATAGAGGTGACACTCTTTATCGATGACAATGCAACCAGCAGAGCTGTGAGGGGTCCGCGAGCCCAAAGGCGACGAAAAAGCCCCCACTGCAATCCTCAGTCTTGCCTTTGTGCCAACCGGCTTGCGGAGTGAAGCAGTGGTGGCACACCCTAATGCTAGAGTACGCCGTGATTTCAGTTGAGCAACAGTCAAGCCCTCACAGTGAGGGAAAGATCTGTCCATGATTACTGTCTCGTGTTCATCATCTGGGGTGAGGAAACTACAGGATCCAGAAACGCACAGTCGGAACAACATCTTTAAAAAGACATGACGCTTTACTGTGTTGCTGTCTTGGGGGATCTGCTCTTTTAGTAGTAACTGGTCTTTTAGCTACCAGTGAGACATTCAGGAGATGGGAAAGGAGTCCAGTTCGACCGGCGCTGTCACATTGTCGCCCACACTGGTAAGAGAATTTGTTTCATAATCAGCGTGGCAAAAAGCACTCTTCGGTCTGTGTGAGGCTCTGAAGAAAAAATCTAACTACTTGCTCTGCACACGCTAGTTATATACTCTACTAATGTTTAATATTCTTTGAAATTGTTTAAACTGCAATAATATTTCACAAGACAAGTGTAAAAAAGTTACACGTGTATGCTAAACAGCTTTAAATTACTGTATTCCCACATAAGTCTACACTACAAACAAAGACAAAGTAAAAAACACTTCTGTGGTAAGTTTGCAACATACGGTATATTTATGAGTTTTAACAACCTGCTGAAGAGATTTTGTTCAGTTCTTCCTTGCTTATGTCTTCCATTTGCACCTTTAAGTCAGAGATGGCTTTCTTTGCATTGTCAAATGTGTGGTGAGGCGCTAATGTCACCTTAGACAAATCTTCATATCCAGAAGGAGCAGAAAGAGACTGCCAGCTCTAGGGGAAATAAAGTAGCTGTTTTATTTTATAATACTTTAGAGAACTACATACAAACACTGGTTTTTGCTCAGTACCTGTAAGAAATGAATGTGATCATCAGACTGTGAGAGCTGCTCCAAGTCAGTGTGTTTCTTCCTTAACAGGGTAATCTCTTCCTCTAGTCTGGCCAAATGTCTCTCTGCATTGGTCAGCAGAAGGACTTCTTGAGCTCGAATCATCTCCTTCACTTCTCCATGCCTCCTCTCCAACGCTCGCAGCAGCTCAGCAAAAATACGTTCATTCTCATCCAGCACACTCTGTGATGAATGCTATCATGATAGAAAAACAAAACATCAACGTGACAGTTATATCCTTAGATTTCATTTACCAATTACATTTGGCACTCTTATAAATTGGAAATTTATATATGAATCTTATATATGGAAATTTAATGTTCCATAAAACCTTTTTTTATAGTGGAAAAAGTTAAATAAAAATTCAATGTCCAAGAAAACTTCTGAAAGGACCCTTAACGCAGGGGTGTGCAAATTTGTTCCTGAAGGACCAGTGTCCTGAAGAGTTTAGTTTTAACCACAATTAGACATACCACAACCAGCTAATCAAGTTCTTTTTAGGTATACTAGAAACTTCCAAACAGGTGTGTTGAAGGTAGTTGGAACTATGCAGGACAATAGCCCTCCAGAACTGAGTTTGGGCACCCCTGCCTAAACAGAATACTGAGGGTGTACTCACACTATGCTATCCGTACCGTGCCCAGGCCCATTTCCCGGATTGTTTGAGAAGTGTGAGTGCGCTGAATCGGGCTCAGGCACGGTTGACTTTGCTGGCCCTGGCCCGGTTGAAAGAGGTGGGCCTGAGCGATGTTCACTTGGACTTTGGCGCGGTATGCTTGTGTGTGAGTGCAAAACGAAAAAAAGCCAGAAACTGAAAGCGAGATGTGACTTTTAAGGGATTGTATCACATGACATATGGATTTATTAATCATTCTTACTGTTCAGTGAACGCAAACTGCCGTAGTTCATTAAAGACACAAACCCCTCACTGCACGACAGCTGCGCACTTTTAGCAAACCTCCTAATTCCTGCAGCACGAGGGCTTTATGATTGTTTATGAGCGTCAAAAGTGGCTGATCTGTTCGGCGAAATATCTGACTGCGTCACAGCATCCCTAAGGACTAAAGCGATATAACTAGAGAAATCTCCACTATGCTGAGCGAGAGTGCTTACTGCTTTCAGTGCAGCATCGATGACGTAAGCGTGCCCAGGCCCAATTGTAATGTGAGTGCGGGCCGTCGGGGGAGAGGGGACAAGCGTGCTTTGGCCCGGTTTGAGGCAACTGTACATAGTATGAGTACGGCCTAAGTTAGGGCAGAGCTTTCGGTCACACTTTATTTTGATGGTCCGTTTGTTGACTTAAGTAGCATTGCATCTACATGCCAACTAATTCTCATTAGATATAATTAGACTGTTAGGTTGGGGTTAGGATTGAGGTTAGGGTTAGGGTTAATGTAAGTTGACATGTACTTACAAATTTTATTATAGTCAGTTAAATGTCTGTTGAAGGAGCAGTATCAACAGATATTAAGCAGACAGCCGACCAATACGAAAATGGACCATCAAAATAAAGTGTTACCAAACTTTCATTTTGTTCATTATTTCCTGGTAGCAAACTAACAGTAAGAGAGGAATGGTTAATTATTGGAATAGGATATAAGAATATGAAAAAAAAGAGTAAATCAATTTTAAAGGCTGAAACATAAAAAAACATAAAACATAAGTGTAAATATATTACATACAAAAACTAACTTTTAAATAAATTAGAATAGGATCTTTCTAAAATAAATTAAGACTTTTATTCACTAAGTTTAAAACGTTTTCAAACTATTTTATTGGCAAGCTAGGAGATTGTCTAGAGTTAGAGGAGGCGTCAGTGAACTCCTCAACATCCAGTAAGCCAATTACAATAACGACATCAAATTTAAACAAAACTTCAACACTTGTTAAATATATTTAAGCAACAGATTAGCATATATTTGCAATATTAATATGCAATGTTTTTGTGATCATTCATTTAACCTTTCCATAAACCACCACCTTAAAGTCGTGGAGGGGTTTAAAGGCCTGAGTGATCATAGGAGCTATGTTGTCAGGAGCTAATTGCCTAGTAGGGTCTACCAAGGCAAAAAAAGTCCTAGGTGGCAGGTCAGGAGGAGGAGGAGTGGATCTTGTTTTGTTTATTGAAAGAAAATTGTAAAGATGCTAAGACCACTCACATGTAAAATCAAAATCAATAAAAACTTAATCACAATATATATATATATATATATATATATATATTTATATTTATATTTATATAATTATATGCAGTGTTGGGCAAGCTATTTGAAAAATGTAGTGAGCTAAGCCATTAGCTACTCTATTTAAAATGTAACTTAACAACACTAAAAGCTACCCCCTGGGAAATGTAGCAAGCTAAACTAAAAGCTACATGGCAAAAGTTGCTTAGCTGCATCTAAGCTATTATTACAATTTTTATTTTTAAACTGAAGAAACTTATAAATTCAAGTCAATCATATCTTAGTGATCAATAAAACTGAAAATGAAACACGAGGAATAATAGTTCAGTTCAGTAATTTACTGTAAATAATATGCTATACTAAACAGAAAAAAAAACATTCCAAATAATAAATTAAAGAAATCCAATAAAACCAGCTGTAACATATTTAAAATACTATAGTGATTTATAGTTAAGGGAAATATTTTGAAATAAGCATTATACATATATATATATATATATATATACTAAAGTATTTTTATTTTTTGAGCACAGCATTAGAAGATATTGCATTTTAACATGTACTTCTCGAGGTATGGTCACAAGGAGTCCTGCTTCAATAACTTCTCTCCCTCAGTCAACTTTCCATCAAGCAAGTTTCGGTTGGCGACGTCGCTAACCAGAGGTGGCATTAACGCACTAAAAAAATGTTGTTGAACACCATAAAACAGGAAGAATAATTCCTCATTCTCACCATCATATGGCTTTACTTTCATCGGCTAGACACCGGCCTCACAGCTCTGTGAAATGTCAGTGGCATCACTATTTGATCTGCGATTGGTAAATGTAGCTTGTGTGGACGCTACTGCGCTACTTGACTAATAAAATAGCTTAGCTACTGAAAAGCTATTTGATTTATAAAGTTGCGACGCTACCGCCACGCTACTGAGAAATGTAGTTAAGCTAGTAGCATCACTACTTGTAGCGACACTGCTGCCCAACATTGATTATTTGCATAGTTATATGTTAGTTTTATTAAAAACTTAGGTTTAGGCTTAGGTTTGTCCATCTGTTTTGGACCACATGGGGCATAGGACATGGGCTTAGCCATAACTAAATTTTTTAACCACACTTCGTTATTGTGGCTCATTTATTCTTTTGCTGGAAATTAGAATTTAGAAAAAGTTTTCAAACAAATTTTTGCGCTAAAGAAACTAAATTAATTACGTAGGCTAATGGATGTCTTCAGTGTAGTGTACAACACTGTTTCCTTACACCATGAAAGAGAGAAACAGAAAGTAAAGACCGATTGGAGGAGGCTCATTCTTTATCCTCGCGCAGATGGTCTGTTTAACTGTGTTTTCGCTAGCGAAGTGTTCAATTGTTCCACTTATAAAGTCCGCCATGTAAATAGCAAATGCGCCATGGCACGATGCAACTGACTCTTAAAGAGGATGGGAGATGAGACTCTGTTTCTGACTCAGGTTTATTCTCAAAACACACTCATTACTCATTAATAGAATTAGCTTAGCCCTGTTAGATCATGCGGCGCAGAGCTTATTTTTTTTGTCCTCAAAATAGAAAAAGTGGATTCTGACACGCCTTTAATGCTTTTGCACCCTACACTTTAGACTTTGCACTTAGATTGTTAAAATAGAGCCCATAATTTCTGAAAGGCTTACCTTTAGAGATGCCACTGCCTGCCTGAGATCTTGCCATTTCTTCATCCTTTCCTCAATTTTCTGCTGTGAAGTCATTAGTTTAGCCCCAAGCTGTTTCTGTTGAAAAAGTTAGTGTTTTAACGTTAATCTTCTCACAGTTAATCGTTGCACTGCATATTGACTTGTATCATGTCATCATTTAGTTGCATTGAGCATGAGTGGTTGTCTACTGAGCATCTCACCTGCTTTTCCGTCCTTTCAGCTGCTGCTGAAACAATGTCATGTTTTTTATGTTCCTCCATAATACACAAAACACAAACACACATTTGGTCAGAACGACAGAAAACCTCCAGAAGTTTGTCATGTTCGCCGCAGATCTTTTCACGCAGTTGCCCTGTCGCCGCCACCAGTTTGTGCTTCATGAGAGCTGGATACTCATAATGAGCCTGGAGATGCGCTTCACAAAAGGAGGTTAAGCAAGTCAGACACGATTTTACTGCCTTGTTTTTCTTAATCATACAAAAATCACACAGCACGTCTCTAGAGCTGCTGCGGCTGCTGGAGCTGCTGTATCTTCCAGATCGGCGGGGTTTCTCCTGAGTGCCATATCGGCTTTGGCTTGCTGTACTGCTCCGAGACATGTTAGAAAGCTGAATGTTAAACAGAGTTTCAATGAAACTGTACTGACTCATTCATTTTATAGAGGAATGTGAACCATGTGTGATAAACCAGTTAACCAGGTTAGAGGATGACATCTTCTGAATGGGTGTGACAGCTTATGTCAGAAGAGAAAAGGAAAAAAATGTAACGTAAACAATGAGACTTCTTTATACAAAGGCCTTGTTGATGGTTAACCATAAAGTGGAAACAACTGTGGTTTTACAAGTGGTTAAACACCTCTTTGGTGTTGAAAATATGCTGTGACAGAATAATGTGACAGTTTCCTCCAGTAGTTAATGAAAGCTAGATTTCACTATATAAACTGAGTTTTCATTGTTGACAATGTACACTTTAATCAATAGCTGCATGCAGCAGTCATTTTTGATAACACAGATCTGAGACTTTTTAAGGGTGCTTTCACACCTGTGAATCGATTCAGTTGTTCCAAAACAGAGATTACAAATGTTACATAATTGCTCTTTGCTCTTGGATCGGATCACTTTCTCACAGCAATCGATCCGCTCCAGAGTTCGTTTTAATCGAGCCGAGACCACCTCATTCAAGCGATCTCGGAGTGATTGATTTGGCGCAGATCTGAGAGCGATTGGTGGTTTCAAATATGCCAAACGAACCACGCTAACTGGCCAAACGGGACAGGTTCCGAAACAAAAATGTAGGTGTGAAAGCACCCTAATTTAATGCTTAACAAGGTTTGAATAAAATCTCATTCTCTATAAGTTTACCATCAAGATATTTTCAGACATTTTCAATCCACTGGTTGAATGGACATTGATGATCTTTTATAAACAAACCGCCTTTTTTAAAGAGACTTGAATCAGGTTACATTTACACTAATATGTTTTAATTTTTAAAACGTTTCAGTTACACCTTCCATCCACACTACCCTGGAGTTTTCCAGTGCAGAAAACTGAGCATTTCGAAAATGCTGAAGAGGCCGTTTTCATTTTAAAACGCTGCTGCTCTGTGTCAGTGTGTATGGGGGAAACGGAGACGTCTAAAACAGAGGTGTGGCTGCAAACATCTGATTGGGGCGTTTTCCTCAATATTAAGTGCACAAATTTTGCAGCCTTTTCTGAAGTTTACACTTTAAAAGTTTGATATGGAAAACAAACTCCAGAGGACATGTCTGGTAAATCTTTAAAGGGAACAGTGTAGGCTACTTTATAATCTCATTTGCATCACCCTAGCTACTTTAATGATCTTAACAACAAAACAAAAACATGATACAAGGAACTGCCTATTTTCATTTTGATACTAACAACAGACACAAAAAATGTTTAGGCATTGTGTAGCTGCATATTTTATGACCGTCATCTTCACTGTATGCATATTTATAACAGAATGGAGCCTATAACATAAGTGCCTTTTATTTTCATTGAAAAAAATCAAACATGCCCTGTCTCTTTTGCTGAATATCAGGTTTAATAATCACTAATAGTCATTATAAAAGTATAATGTTTATACAATATAGGAAATAAAGGCAGGCAATCAGTCAATATGCAGAATTATTGTACTACCTGGAGCTCAGACACGGGCATACACTGCAGAGCATGCCTGAGTGTGTAAGTGGTCACATGATGTGTGTTTTTGCGGCGTTTTAAAACTAAACGGGGCCTGAGTTACTGACAAAAATTAAAAATTCTAGAAATCACATATTTGGAACGAACAACTCTTGCTGTGGCAGAAAGTGTCAAATTGATCTTCATCTAGACTAGCTTACAAATTCATTGAAAACTCTTCTTTTACACATGTTTGTAAAACTTTAAAATTGACAATTTTATGAAGATTTAAAGAAAAAAAAATGATTTAACTTTTTTTAACTTGCACTTGCTGACCAATCACAATCTCAAATGTTTTTCAAAACCCATTTTACATAACACAGTCACTGAAAAATATATTATTCCCAGATAAAAGAATGTCACTTTTCAGAAATTCTATGACTTATGAAAACTAGCTCAGACAAACACCAACAGACACACTACAGACCCAATGACTTTTATAAAACCCGATTTAGTTGTACTAAAATGGTCTGAGCAAAAGTCAATCATCAAAATTATTTTTCAGAATTGTTCACATCTAATCACTTGATAGCATGACAGCAATTTTTATTGTCTACATAATTAATATGTAGGGAAAAAAAGTGTTCCAGAAGATTACAGGAACTTTTTAAACTTGATAATGTGCACCTTTTAGTTACATTTTGTAATAATTTTGTTCTTTTAAACACATGGTATGGGAACTGGGATTTATTTTGTATTGTGTATTGTTAGTAAATGTTAATAAATGGTTGTAAATGTTAGCTAGCTGTTGTGGCCCGTGAGAGCGCATTGGCTGCATGGTTGAGCTCGCCCAGAATATGAATGGCACGCAGCGATCTCAGCCACGTGTGACTTTAGAGGAGTTGATGGCGAGCGAGCTGAGAAATGCAACGGGAACGTATACCTCCCATATGGTTGATATAAGCCATCATTGCCATGCTGTCCCTCCTGACCAGCAGTGTTTCTGCTCCAGCACCAGTGAAAATCGGCGGAGAGGAGGATACACTGCCAGCTGAAGAGGCCGAAGAATCGCTAGGGCACATTCTGCAAGATTGGTGAAAACCCGCATAGACAGAGATCTAATTAAAGCGAAGCCATCCCAGAGGATGGACCAGCGCTCACACTCAAAGCTTGGACAGAGCGCACTGATGAGGAGCGAGGGGTCTGTGGGCCTGGAGGCGATGGAAAGCCCCCACTGTAAGCCTCAGGCCTGTCCGAGTGTTAATTGCTTGGCAGGGAGCAGCAGGGATGATGCACCCTAATGCAGGGGTATGCCGCAACCTCAGTTGTGCAACAGTCAAGATCTCACAGTGAGGGCAAGAACTGTCCGCGAGCACTGCTTCAACATGCTGGACCCACATGCTTGTGCCTGTCATAGGGGGCGAGGAAACCACTGCATCCAGAAACGCAAGGTCGGAACAACATCTTTAAAAAGATGCGCAGGTTGACTGTGTGCTCTATTAGGGAATTCTGCTCTTTGAAGTAGAAACTGCTCTTTTAATGCACCAGCGAAATGCCCAGGGGATGGGAAGCCCAAATCAACCGCCGCTGCCTTGTCGTCTTCCGCACTGGTGAATACTGCTGCTTTCTCTCTGGAAATCAGCTTAGCAGAAAGGGTTCTTCAGTCTTGAGAGAGGCTCTGAAGCTAAATTCTAGAGGCTCACTCCACAGTGGGCACTAATATAGGCGCTAATGACTAATCAGTATCAGCTGTAGAGCTGAGCTCTGCCAATTAATTTGGCTTTCATTGGCCCGTTTTCTTACTCTTCAGAGTAATGGGTTGTCTTATGCACTCCCATAGTGTGTTCCTAATGCACGTTGGAGTTCCCTTATGAAGGGGAACAGAGTGGGTTGATGAACATGAAAGTCTTGAGTCTTGAGAGAGGCTCTGAAGCTAAATTCTAGAGGCTCACTCCACAGTGGGCACTAATATAGCTAATGACTAATCAGTATCAGCTGTAGAGCTGAGCTCTGCCAATTAATTAGGCTTTCATTGGCCTGTTTTCTTACTCTTCAGAGTGATATGTTGACTTATGCACTCCCATAGTATTTTCTAAATGCACGTTGGAGTTCCCTTATGAAGGGGAACAGAGTGGGTTGATGAACATGAAAGTAAAGTTGAACATCTCCTGTGGCCTACACAGTCACTAGATCTAAATATTATTGAGCAATTTTGGGGTATTTTGAGAGGAGCGAGTTGGAAAACGTTTATATCCAACAGCATTACGCAGTGAACTGGCCACTATTCTGCAAGAAGAATGGTTCAAATCCCTCTGGCCACTGTGCAGGACTTGTATCTGTCATTCCCAAGACAAATTGATACTTTATTGGCTGCAAAAGGAATACACCATACTAATGAATTATTGTGCTCTAAAACCAGGTGTTTTAGATTCATTGTCCAACCCCTGTAGTTATTTTCTCTTCATAATCACTTGATACTAAACTTTTTTTATGTGGTATTGTCATACTTTTCTGATGCATACGGCTTTCATTTGTCCATTTGTAAAAAGAGAAGTTCTGCATCTTATGCTATATTTACAGAAAGCAATACCATTAGAGAGATTGTCATGTGAAGAATGTGCAATGCATTGTTTTATTTGACCAAATTACATTCAGTTAAAAAAAAAAAAAACATGTTTAGTGCATTGATTATTTCTGTAAAATTGCTTTCCTGAGTCGTATCCAGAATCTCATGTTGCTCAAAGGGTCTCTGCTCCACTTCAGGTATGTGTTCTTCTTCAGATGCTTATGTAGACCAAACACTTTCTTGGTTTTTCTCTCCGCCACATCTTCCAGAATAATGATGATGATATTGGCATTGCGTTCCATCAAAAACCGAGACTGAGCTAATTCAAACTCAAAGCGACACCAGGAACTATCAATGAAGTGTTGAGACACAACCACAATGATCTTACGGCTGCCCATTATTCCTTCATCTATAATGTTGGAGGCGATTGACTTCCCGGCTTGAAAGTCCCGCATGTGAAGGCAAAGCTGAATAGGTGGCACACCGTTCTCCAGATTCTCCATAAGTTCATTCATGACCCAAGCTTCATCATAGCTGGAGAAAATCACAAATGCGTCATAAGAACATTCTTGCTGTCCAGGTGATCTGTAGCCACTGAATAAAATAAAACAATACTGAACATAGAACCAGAATTTATAAAGCAAAATTGCTAACACAACTACAAACGTAACACAAATTACTGATAAAACAATTGTGAGTCTTTTCTTGTGCACACAGTAGTCAATGTCAAAGTCTATTGCTTTGAAATCTGTATTTGCAGAAAAAGTTTTACACCGAATGTTTTCCAGTTGTTTTAAAATGTTTTGTTTTTGAATAATCCACAAAATAAAATCAGTCTGAGAGCAGGAGCAATCGATGGAGTTAGAGGACAAATCAAACTCAGAAAGGTTCATGGGCAACTTTTGTAGAACATCAAGTGGGATGGTGGTTATACTGTTTTTATCAATATACACTGATGTAAGATGTGTCAGCTCTGGTTGAGTTAAAAAGTCCAAAACCATCAATTTGTTTCGACTTAAATATAAATGTCGTAGTTTCTGCGTGCCAGTAAAAGATCTCATGGAGACTTTCTCAATGCCACACTGTGAAATGTCAAGAACCTCCAAGCTTGTTAGGTTTTGTAAGAAGTAACTCAATTTATCTCCACTAAAACTGTTTCCTGCCATTTTAAGAACAGTCAAATTATGCAGGTCCTGAAAAGTCAAGGTATTGAAATGAACACGTGTATAAGAAATATCCAAATACTTTAAATTTCTCAGATGTTTGAAGAATC